GCTCCCCGTCCAAACCCACGGTACGGCGACGGCGGCGGTGGAGGCGGCGGCGATGGGCGACGTGCCCCTGCCTGCCCCTCCAATGGGCCGGCTAAGCCTCGACCCCACCCCTGGACTTGCGCTGTCTGATTCCAGCCCTCGCCGTCCTGCACGGCAACCCTCTCCCGACTCTGCAGCTCGCCGCGCTGTCATGCACGGGTGGCCGGAGGGCGTCGATCCGCCGCTTCCTCTCGACGCGAGTTCCATTCGGTCTTTCTCCTTGGCGCCCCGTTGTGTTCACGGCGCCTCCCATCTAGGTTTTCCAAAATGTAAGGACCCTGCTATACCACTGAATTCTGTTACGTTCACTGTGCCATCGAACTCTGGCAATGTAGATTGGAGATTTCCTTAATGTGCAAAGTACTTAAACTAGTAATCGGCAAATACTAAAACTATCATATTAAGGTCAACTGTCTGTCAGAGATCTTTGATCAATATGGTGGTTTTAGCAACCTGATTGAATCTGAGCTTACTCAGAAAGATATTATTATTGATAAGGACTTCCATGTGGAACTCCACTGTTATAGTGGTTGCGAGATTAAATACGTTGGCAGGACTTGCTGATATGTCAGATATGGTTCAGCCACCAATTATAGAAGGTGGCCATGAGAAAGTCTATAAGAATGCTCATCATCGAAATGCTTCTGTAATTTTAGTTTTACACTTATCTACCAACATTGTTGGTTTTTTTTTTGTACTTATCTACCAACATACTAGAGTGATTGTTAGTTGTTATTTTTCCTGGACTGGAAGGTGATGTGTCTTTGTAATTTTGCATTTCATCTTGGTATCGTTCACACTTCGCACTACTCGTAAATTTACATCCTGCAAGGTTCTAAATTATGCTAGAGATTCTCGTCCTCGTGCTAAGCCTCAGTATCGGGTATTATTTCCTCAAGCTATATCCGTGAGTTGATCTTGTAGTTAATTGTTCTTCTTTTCTGTATAACAGGTTGCTGAGCTTGATCAGATTGGTTGCTATCGTCCTATTTTTCATATGGCGTGTCAGGCACCCATACGCTGATGGCATGTGGCTCTGGTGGATATCGATGGTTGGGGATCTTTGGTTTGGCGTCACTTGGTTGCTAAACCAAGTTGCAAAGCTCAACCCTGTCAAGCGTGTCCCCAACCTTACCCTCTTGGAACAGCAGTTTGATCTCCCTGACGGCAACTCCAACCTTCCTTGCCTTGATGTCTTCATCAACACCGTTGATCCCATTAATGAACCTATGATATACACTATGAACTCCATCATATCCATCCTTGCTGCAGACTATCCAGTTGACAAGCATGCTTGCTACCTCTCAGATGATGGTGGGTCAATAATCCATTATGATGGCTTGCTTGAGACTGCAAAATTTGCTGCATTATGGGTTCCCTTTTGCCGAAAACATTCCATTGAGCCAAGAGCCCCTGAGAGCTATTTTTCTTTGAATACACGCCCATACACTGGAAATGCACCACAAGACTTTGTCAACGACCGCAGGCACATGTGTAGAGAGTATGATGAGTTCAAGGAGCGGTTAGATGCACTTTTTACCCTTATTCCCAAACGGTCAGATGTGTACAATCATGCTGCTGCCAAAGAAGGTGCAAAGGCAACTTGGATGGCAGATGGGACACAGTGGCCAGGCACATGGATTGACCCAGCTGAAAATCATAAGAAAGGACAACATGTTGGAATTGTTAAGGTATACATTTTCACTTCTAACTTTTTTTACTATAATTTTTTATGACTAGAATCATACATGAGTGCTTATTTATTTCAAACTGCGATCTTTATTTAATAGGTTATGTTGAAACATCCAAGTTATGAACCAGAACTTGGTCTAGGAGCAAGCACCAACAGTCCTCTAGACTTCAGTGCAGTTGATGTGCGCCTCCCAATGCTCGTTTACATCTCCCGCGAGAAGAGTCCAAGCTGTGATCATCAAAAGAAGGCAGGTGCCATGAATGTACAGTTGCGAGTCTCTGCCCTCCTGACCAATGCGCCCTTCATCATCAACTTCGATGGTGACCACTACGTCAACAACTCTAAAGCCTTCCGTGCTGGCATATGTTTCATGCTCGATCGCCGTGAAGGTGACAATACTGCCTTTGTCCAGTTTCCCCAACGCTTCGATGATGTTGATCCCACAGATAGGTACTGCAATCACAATCGTGTCTTCTTTGACGCCACCTTGCTCGGCCTCAATGGCATCCAAGGGCCGTCTTATGTTGGCACTGGTTGCATGTTCCGCCGTGTCGCACTTTACGGTGTTGACCCACCTCGCTGGAGACCTGATAACGTCAAGATCGTGGACAGCTCCACCAAGTTTGGCAGTTCAGCATCATTCATCAGCTCAATACTGCCAGCAGCAGACCAAGAACGCTCCATCATGTCGCCGCCGGCACTTGAAGAGCCTGTCATGGCTGACTTAGCTCATGTCATGACATGTGCATATGAGGACGGGACTGAATGGGGCAGAGAAGTTGGTTGGGTGTACAACATTGCAACTGAGGATGTGGTGACCGGCTTCCGGCTGCACCGGAATGGGTGGCGATCCATGTACTGCCGCATGGAGCCAGATGCATTCGCCGGCACCGCACCAATCAACCTCACTGAGCGGCTCTACCAGATCTTGCGCTGGTCAGGGGGCTCCCTTGAGATGTTCTTCTCGCGGAACTGCCCACTCCTGGCTGGCCGCCGCCTCCACCCAATGCAAAGAATTGCCTATGCCAACATGACAGCCTACCCAGTTTCATCTGTCTTTCTTGTGTTCTATCTCCTCTTTCCGGTGATATGGATCTTCCGTGGGCAATTCTACATACAGAAGCCATTTCCCACGTATGTGTTGTACCTCGTCATCGTCATCGCCCTGACCGAGTTAATCGGTATGGTTGAGATCAAGTGGGCTGGGCTCACGCTGCTGGACTGGATCCGCAACGAGCAGTTCTACATTATTGGTGCAACAGCCGTGTACCCTACAGCAGTATTTCACATAGTGCTGAAGTTGTTTGGCCTGAAGGGCGTTTCATTCAAGCTGACGGCGAAACAGGTAGCAAGCAGTACCAGCGACAAGTTTGCTGAACTGTATGCCGTGCAGTGGGCTCCGATGCTGATCCCTACCATGGTGGTGATAGCGGTGAATGTCTGTGCCATTGGCGCGTCGATAGGCAAGGCGATAGTGGGAGGATGGTCACTGATGCAGATGGCAGATGCAGGACTTGGGCTGGTGTTCAACGCGTGGATTCTGGTGCTGATCTACCCGTTTGCTCTGGGTATGATTGGACGGTGGAGCAAGAGGCCCTACATCCTGTTCATTCTCTTTGTGATTGTGTTTATTTTGATCGCCTTGGTGGATATCGCCATCCAGGCCATGCGCTCTGGGTTTGTTCGGTTCCACTTCAAAAGCTCAGGTGGCGCCACTTTTCCCACAAGCTGGGGTTTGTAAGTTCCTCCCCATGCTGGGAGTTTCCTTTTCCTTTGTGGTGTGGGTTTTTCTTCTTCTTCTTTTTTTGGCTTTGGTGTGAATCATATATAGGCTGTACAAGTTTGTGGAAATAATGTAAAATTGGTCATTTGCCTGGAAGAAAAGTAGATGTGGCAAAGCAACACCTGTAGTATATCGGGTATAATGTTGAGGATGCCTGGAAGTATACCTATTCACGTACCTATATTTTGGTATGTTTTAGCAAGACCTCAAGATTTCCGGTCCATCTTGGAGCTGCAATGTCGGCCTGTGCTTCCCAGTAATAAGTCAATTTCTTTTTAACATGTAGTTAAACTCTTTTTTTTGACAGCTACCTGTAGTTAAACTCTGCTTACTTAGAGTGCAGAAAGAGCATTCTCACGGCCGGTTGTGCTTTGCAGAGGATTTTTGGCCGGCGTCGCTTGCTTCAGAATATACTTCACAGAATCACAGTACGTGTTACATGTTGCCATGTTGGTGGGCTGATATCAGCCAAGAATCAAAGGAGGGACACAAAAAGCAACAAAGGAGCTAAAGACAATTTGATGTCAATTCAGCCTCTCCAATCGACAATCGTCCGACGTACTCCACATGTATGACAGGCACGCCATGGTCCAGGTTCCTGTAGACATGGAACCATCTGTTCCATTATTGTCTCAAACAAAAAATCGGTTCTGTTATTTGTTTGGCTCTTGCAAAACAGGCCGCGTTTGTGGCGTCATACGAAAGAGAGAGGGGTGTCAGCCTCCAGGCTCCGGTGATGTGCTCTCGTGGTTTGTAGATGGACAAATGTGATGGTGTACATGTATGTCGTCATGGAATTAATGGGAAAAGACTTCTAGTGCCATGGGAACCTTGTGTGCTACCCATGCATGCTACCAACGCATGGTAACACCCTTGAAAAGTTTGGCAAACAGATTTGAGAAAAAGCTGAGTGAATCGATGAGAGATGTGTTTACAAGCTGGTGCTCCGGCGTCCCTCGGTTGTGATATGGGCGCCCCTCCTCCTAGGGTTTGTCGGTCTAGTTGTAGTACCTTTGGTCGTTTCGGTGGTGCGTGTTTTGGTTGGCTGCACGTCGTCCCTACGCTCATCTTCTCCCCGCGCTTGTATTATGCTCGTTGTGATGTTGCGGTCGTCTCTGTGTTGGTGTCCATGCTCACGCAAGTATGGTTAGGCGGATGCCATATAGGAGGACTTGCACTTCTGCTATTGTGGTCGTTGCTATCGGGTGCTGATAACTCCTTCGTGTATGGTCTATGGTTTCTTCCTGTTCCTAGTTTCCTACTAGTTCTTACTTGGTTGGCTATTGTTCAGTCTTGGTCGGCGCTTGTGCCATAGATCCGTAGGTCGTTTATTTATTTTGTGGTTTTGCCTTTAGATCGTGCCATTTGGCGCCATTTTTGACATTGTGCTCATCCTTTCTATATGATGAATACATGCAAATCTCTTGCATGGTTTGGAAAAAATCTCGAAGGGTAATTGCCGGAC